CACAATATAGTAATAATCTTTAGCTCATACGTATTATATAGGTATAGTACACAATTTGCCATTATGTTTTCAGTGTATGATCTGTTTCACATACTTTTTCTTGAAAACAACAAATGCATTATGTGGCATTTCCACCCTGATGGATCATTTACTACATCAAGGTGGGTGGGGTGTGAATTGTAGACCTCATGCAGCCCCATATCTGGAAGGGCAGCTGATACTGACCTTTTTGCTACAGTTTCATTTTGGATCTCCTAGAGGTTTTCCTTCAACCTACACAAGCCTCTCTTCAAACCAGAAGAGACTTCTTCCTCCAGCCACCCTGTGACTAGCAATCTCCAGGTCTCTGTGGTGAAGGAAACTGTCTGCTCACCAAGGAATATCAATCATGGAGAGTACTGCTTTCATGGTCCAGTTGCTTGTCATGTTGGCTGCCACTCTGTTACATCAAGTTATAATTTAAGTTTAAATTAATTCGTACAATAATTAACTGTGAAGGATTCAGTTATTGTTGACTTGTTTTATAATGAACTTACACTAAATTTAATGAAGTATAATTAAATACATGGGATGCTAAACGAGTTTTAATTAAATAAATAACTAAATTTTATAAATACCAAAAACAAAACTAAAATGCATTCTCAAACATTTGATCAACATCAAAAGTAGCTCCTAACAAGCTGTTGCTGCCAATCCCCAAGCCATGCAAAATTTTGGCTCAGACAATAGCTTGCATGCCAGTTTCTAATGCAAATTAGAATTCTAATTTAATGCATTTAATGCACATCTCAATGCAAATTAAAATACAAATTCTGAAGTAATTTAAATTGCTCCTTTTTATGTATATAAAGGGGGGGGGCACACGATCTCAGTGGTCACAGTGGCTAGTACAAATCATGTGAAAATATTCTGCCAGTCATTTTTGCCTACTATATTATGAAACAGAGTTTACTATTATAAAGGAGCTTCAATTCTCTCAACTGAGTAATTAAGTGTGAGCAGGTTCGTGTGAAATTATGGATTTATATGATCAGGAAGAGGGAGGCCATCATAAAGAATGTAATTGCAAGGAATGTACATAAAAATTAATAGTATCTTTATGTTTTATTTCATTGATTTTGAGATTGTAGCCATTTTATCATTTGTAGGACTGATCACACAATGAAGAGGTAATCACTGTAGGTTTAAATCCTTCTTTATATTATGCTAGTTGTACAGAAAGATGGAATCAGAATAATAACCTTGGACTTAGTTTTTATTGGTAGACTGTGAAACCCTGTTGCCATGGCAGTCGGCATGCTGCTCACTTATGTGACTTGTTTGCTTCCATAGCTCTGTAAAAGCAGCATCTTAATAGAAAGCCGGGTCAATTTTTTGATTGTAATAAATAGTTTTCATAAGCCACAGAAATTGAGAATCCTTTATTTGCATTTACCATTCAAGCACTCTCTCTGTGTGTATATTAAGCTTATCGCATGGCACTTAAAGAATGGGAACGGAACAGAACAGAGCAAAAACACATTTTACTGAATGGGAGAACGCCACCAATGCCGCCGGGAGTCCCCAAGGCGTTCCCCAGCTGTCCCTGGTAGCTGATTTTTGAAGTTCGGTAAAATCGTTCTTCAAAATCAGCTGCCAGGAATGGCTGGGGAACGCCTTGGGGACTCCCAGCGGCATCGGTGGCATTCTCCTGTGCAGTAAAATGCATTTTTTTCTCTGTTCCGTTCCCTTCTGTTCCATTCCTGTTCTTTAAGTGCCGTGCGACAAGCTTATGTGTGAAGAAGAAATATGACATCCCATCCTTTCAGCCCAGCTGCAGGAAGGACTTTCACACATAACCCATACTTGACCCAGCAGGGAAGCATGAGTGAAAGTGATAGTGCGAATCACTTTTACATGTAAGCATGCTGAAAAGCACTTTCAGCCATCAGCTGAAAGCATTTACAGCTGTCATTTGCAATCTTTTGTATTAACAGAAGAACCTGTTAATACCATGACAGCTAAAAACGCTCTTCAGCCCATTTTCATGTGAAAGTGATTTGCACAATCACTTTCACTCGGGTCACAGATAGAATAAGAACGGGGGAGTGATCCCGTCCCTATCCCGCCTCCCGTGTCATAATCTCAAGAGAAGCTTCTCACCCATTCCAGTTTTGTTGCAAAGGCCAGTGAGAACAAGAAACTTCTTGGTCATTGCTTAGCCACCGGCTTGATCACTGCTCCCAAGGTGACCAAGTGCAAAGGAAAGAGGTTCTCCCTGGCAAGGAAGGACTCTCAATCCTTCTTCTTCGAGGTGGAGAGAGGCACAGCCGGTGTGTGTACAGTGAGGCTACATGCTCTGGATTGAAGACCTCTTCTCTCAACCTGTCTGATGAAAGAAAGCAAGAACAGCTTGAAGCACGCAATGCTTCAGCAGGGTCTCAAACTTGAAAGATCCTTTTTGCTGCTGCTTCTTCCCCATTGCTGCATGCTCTATCTCCTAGGTCCAGTCAGTCAGTCTGTCCCAAAATGGAGCTGCTCTAAGCAACAAAAATGATGCCTCACAAGAATTTCCCATGTCTACTTACTAAGAGAATGAGCTTGCATGGGCAGGTGAACATAAGGAGATATCACTACATGTAGAGAGGCTTCATAGTGGTTTTAAGGGACCCTGAAAAGAAGTTTCATGCAACCCTCATTTCCACCATAGTCCTACAGGCCATTGGACCACTTTCGGAATCACTTGCCTAGCCCATGATGGCTTGATCAACTACTGCTATAGACCAAAACTGCTATAGGCCTGGGATGGGCAGATTGGAGCTCCCAGCAGATCCCTAGGTGAATTACAGTATATTGGAGAAAGTCAAGTTTTTCTGGCAGTTATTATAACTAAAAGGTTTCCTTACCTAAATTAAGGTTATAAACAATACTGTTCAGGAGTTGAAAAAAATAGATAAGCTTTATTCTTCTACTGACTCTGAATTACATGTGTTCAGAGACACCCTGTTTAGTAATTAGCATATGTTAATTTATCTGAACCACAGTTTTGAACATGATTTTGTTTGGATTATAATACATGTTGAGTCTCCGTTATCCGAAGTGCCAGAAGTGTTTTGTTTTTCAGATTTTTTTATTTTATTTTTTATTTTTATTATTTATTTATTTATTTATTTGGATTTTGGAATACCAGTATTTGCATATATGTATGTAATGGGATATCTTGGAGATGGAACCCAAGTCTAAACAGCAAATTCTTTTATGTTTCATATACACCTTATACACGCATATAGCCTGAAGGTAATTTTATGTCTAATATTTTTAATAATTGTGTGCATGAAACAAAGTTTGCATACACTGAACCATCAAGAAAGCAAAGCTGTCACTATCTCAGCCACCCATGAAAGAAGTTTTGGTTTTTGGAATATTTCAAATTTTGGAATACTAGATAGAGGAGACTCAACTTGTAGTATGTTCTAAAAGAAAACCAACATAGATGGCTTGTTTATTTAATAAAGAAGTTGTTAGTGGAAAGGTGTCACTGTTGTGATGATCACCAATGTAAAATCTAAAATAATGGGAGGGGGCGAAATCACCCTATAAAATTTGATTTATGTAAAATATTTCTGTGCAGTTTGACTAAACTTGTTAACCTACTCTTCTTTTGCAACAGTTCACCTTCCCTCCTGTGTTGCATGTGTTGTGTGTGCCTTCAAGTCATTTCTGACTTAAGATGACCCTAAGGCAACCTATGGGGTTTTCTTGGCGAGATTTATTCAGTGGAGATTTGACATTGCCTTCCCCTGAGACTGAGAGCATGTGGCTTGCCTAAGGTCACCCAGTGGGTTTCATGACCGAATTGGGAATTGAACCTTGATCTCCAGTGTCATAGTCCAACACTCAAACCACTGTGCCACACTGGCTCTCGCTTACCCGCCTACTACTTAGTACCTAGCGATTCAAGGGATGAGGGCTACATCTAGACACCCACCTCTTTTTTTGTTCTCCCTTGTTCCTAAAGACAAATAATGTATTATAAAGCCCATGAAAATTGGATGGCATAATCTGCTGCTGAAAATCAATGAGTTGGCAAACTATAAAGTAGGGGTGGCAAACTACAGAGCTCCCAACCAGTCTTAAGCAGGTCCACTTGCTGCCATGTAACAGATGCTGTGATAGGGCATCTCCCCACTGAGGTCCCTGTGAGACCTACTGGGGAGTAAATACAGGTGTTCTAGGTTCCCCAGAGATGTTATGCAATGGTGGGCATATAGGGAAAGATGTTATGCAATGTTGGGCCTATGGCAGTGAAGGGTGGCAGTGGTGTCTCCCCCAGTTCAAATTTGCTAATCTCCCTGGATGCAGCAGTAGACTCAGAGAAAGCACCTACCAAGGAGGGTGAGAGAAGGTTACAGTTTAAATGGGAATCTCCATTTAAGTGGGGGAAGTGTGTGAGAGAAGTAAGAGGTTTTAATGTGGCAGTTACTTCAGAGCTCTGTTTCTATAACTGTGTTTAGATCAGATTAACTGTGATCCAGTTCCAAAATTGTGAAGGGCTGGTGGGTTGGTAGGAGGGATGCAGCAAGATGTGGGAGATTGTCAACTAATAAGATCTGTTAAATACTCTTTAATTCATTATTTAGTATTTTTAAAATTTTTAGTATTATTTATCTGTTATTTAACTAAAATAAATTCCACAAAAAACCCTGTTTTTTAAACCAAAAAGAAGCAAACAAGCAAAAGGAGGAAGAGGAGGAGGAGGAGGAGGAGGAGGTTTGACACGCAAGCACCTGGCCAGTTGAACAAGTGCCTCCTTTTTACTCACACTGGATATAATTAAAGAATCATTTAATTATATTTTTAATTAAATTTATTTAATTTAATTAAATAAATATTATTTATTTATTTATTTATTTATTTATTAAATAAATATATTAAATTTAATTATAATTTTTTAAAAATAAAAAAAAATATTATAGTTATTTTCCATCTACAGAAACATGTTGTTTTTGCATACACAGAGAGCCAGTGGGGTACAGAGGTTTGAATGGTAGACTAGGACTCTAGAGACCAGGGTTCAAATCCCCTCTCAGCTGTGGAAACCCATAGGGTAACCTTGGGTAAGTCAAACTCTCAGCATCAGAGTCAAAGTCAAACTCTTGGGTAAGTCAAACTCTTTGCATCAGCAAAGATAAATCCCCTCTGAATAAATCTTGTCCAAAAAACCCCACAAAACACCCTGTGATAATTTTGCCTTAGAGTCACCATAACTCAGAAATGTCTTGAAGCCACTCAAGAACAACATTTGCATCTACAGAAAATACTTCCATGACTGCATACAAGTACAATCTATTCAAATCTGACACATTTTCACACAAAGCATTCATTCATAGGCATCCATGGATGCCATATATTAGAATAGAAAAAGAATTCAACTATGGAGATTACTTCTGTTTGCTTATAACAGGACAATGACTTTACTGTGGGTTGTGAAAAGAAATTAGAATGAATTACATAGTACAAGAGCCCTATTGAGTCATTTCGTCCTCATCAGCCTAGCATCTGCCTTACCTCAGCAGTTAGCCATTGGCAGCCCTACCATCCATGCACTGGGTGATTTTTTTGCAGAGGGAAATCTTGAAGAATATACACAGTCTGTCCTTTGGTCCTAATTGTACAAGGGTCCATATTATGTAGAGTGATGGACCACTTCAGATTTTCAGTTTCTGAAATCTGAAAGGTTCTCCATAGGCCACATTAGGAAGTCTGAAAAAATGAGTAAGCAAGCAAACAAGCAAAAAACAACAAAAACAAACAACAACAACCCCCCAAAAAACACCCAGAAATGACTATAATCTTCATGTTTTATGTTTTATTTTGTTTTAAGTTTTGAAATTATTTAATGGAATGGGAGTCCTCCAAAATTGCTTCTTCTTTAAAACTTCAGGAATGGAAAAATGTATGGACTGCAGAAATGTTCTTAGTGGCCTCACATACCCATCCTTGCAACAGAGAGAGCCTACATTCATTTGACAGGCTGATATTCTGTTGTGACATATCCAGTAGATAAGTTGATGGGGACCTTAAGGAGGTAACTAAAGAGGTGGAGTCCAGTACAGCTTTTCTGCTCATGCAGTGTGTGAGAGAGTGTGTGTGTGAGAGAGAGAGAGAGATTGCATGAGCAGAAAAGCAGGGTGGCCCTCCACCTTTTAGTTAGTTACTGAGGTGAAAATAACCTTTTTTAAAATTTCTTTGAACCTATGGCTAAGGCTAACATTTTACGCAAAGGAAAGAGACCCCCACATTTGTGTAGGTGCATAATTTCATACTGTGGGCCAGATGAAGCCTTTTGTATGCTCTCCATCTTGTACATAAGGTCCTTCTACTGTCATCTTTAAGCAGTAATAAAAAATAAGATAGTGTTGAAGGTGAGGAAACTGTTTCATAGAGTTGTGCTCTGTGGAGTTGAGTTGTGGTTTGCAACCTGGGAAGCTGTTGTGCTGGGTTTATTCATCCCTTGGGGACACTTCTCAAAGTAAGACATGGAAATAATTCTCCTCCTCTTTACAATAGTCATAGGGCCTTTACAGACTGTCAGAAATAGTGCAAATTGAGGCCACTTTAACTGTCTTGGCTCAGTGCTAGAGAATCATGGGAATTGTATTTTTTTTCTGGGACATTGAGCCTTCTCTATCAGAGAACTCTGGTACCACAATAAACTGCAGTTCCCATGATTCCTTAGCACTGAGCCAGGACAGTTAAAGTGCCTCAATTTGCACTATTTCTGGCAGTCTGTAAAGGCCATAATGTCAATTCACTCAGTACATAAAATGTTTAACATGCTAGCTTACTTCACTAAGGATAATTTCATGATAATTGCCTGAGGACACTAATGATAATGGAGTAGCATAACGTTATACCAGCATTCTAGTGTGCAGATCCAGAAGGGTGATAGCTGCCCTCTGGGTGGTGACTTGTAGAGGAAAATTCTCTGGTGCCATTGAGTTTCAGAGTTGCACCTGGCTGCTTTCCAGCTACTGTTGTGCAACCTGGTAGAAACTGTTGCATAAAGAGGTACAGGATACCCCTTGTATAACATCATAGAAAGTATTTATGCTTGCATAATCCCAGTTATGCAAGTGTAAATCACCAAGAAGATACCAGCTGTTTATGCCCTGAATGAATATCTGAACATGGATTTGAGGTTTCAGTTGGAGCTAGTAGTCTTTTTTAGGGCCACATACCCACTGAAGAAAACAGACAACTTTATATTAAGGTTTGTAGATAAAAACAAAAATAGTGCAGAGCAGCTGAAACAACCTCTTTAATTGATTATGCATATGCTATTTGGATCAGAGTATGTATCAAGGAAGCTACAGTCACAAGAATAATAAGTCACTTGCTTGAATGCATTGGGGGCTAAATTGGTGGCAGACCATGCACACATGTAAAGCACACTCCAAATTAAGCTCATGCAGCATCACTCATAGGCCTTCGTGTGATGAACATGAAATAGTGAAGAGTGCTTAGTGACTTCATTCAGCTGAATGTGGTTTCATCACTGCCATGATGGGATCCCTGATCAGGCAATTAGAAGCATAGTTTACATGCACTGTCCCCATTTTGTACTCTTCCACACATCGAGATGATTGTCTAATCAAGGCTAACGTGTGTTTCTTCATTAACATAGTGACTCTGCTATCAGTTGTCCCTGGAGTATTCCTTAGAAATCTCTTCTTCAGCTTTTGAAGCAACTGAAAAAGAAAAAACAAATAGCAAAATAAACATTATAGTTGGCCCTCCACATTTGCATCTTTGACTTTTGTGGCTTTGATTATTCACATTATTAATATGCTCTCTCTAGGAAGGATTGTGAGAAAGAAGGTGTAGGAGAAGAATTAGAATGAAATAATTGGAATGGAAGCGAAGGTGGAATGGAAAGAGAGAAGAAGCGAGAGGAGGGAGGGATAGGAGGAGTTCGTAAGGAAGAAGGTGACATAGGATAGTAGATTTATCAGTGATATAATGGAAATGTAAGAATGAATATGTGTGGGGTGGGTAAAAAGTGATCAATGTTGTATGGATATACTAGGTATGTTAGAATCTTATATAATATTTGTGTAAAAGGTATAACAAATGTTTAAAGATGGAATGATTGTGTATTTTTAAAGTAATATAATAAAATTTCAAAAAAAATATGCTCTCTAGAAATCTCAACCATAATGTTTAACCATAGAGTAACACTGGAGGACCTAGAGATTCCTAGAGAGGTGTTCTCTCGGGTTAAAAAAATACTGTGTTTTTATTTGCATTTTCCCCCTTTCTTTCTTTTTATTAGTTTTAACATGAGTGATTAAAATAGAACATTTTAACACAACCATACATACATCTCTTAATACAAACATTATTGTTTACAATACATTCAAAGACAAAGACAAAGACAAACTACATTACTTCCTTACTCACAGTCGCTTAGTCTAGATTCCCTTCTGATTACTTTTTACTACAATTTCTTGGTTATCTATCTTGTTATTTTTACTTCGCTTAAATGTTCTTTAAGTAACTCTATCATCTTTATCCATTCCTTTATATTACAAAGGCTTGCCTAATTTCCACCACCTCTACGCTTCTTTTCTTTATTTCTACTTCTTTTTGCTTTTGACTAAACCCTCATCACCAACAAAAATGGCAGCAAGTAAAAAAATGACGTCTTAAATATTATTTTGTAATACCAAATATTTGGTCATCTTTTGCCAGTTTTTTTCCCCAAATTTCTCCTTCGGGACATCTCTTAATAACATTGTAAATTTATCCATACATTCAACCACTTTTTGCTTCCACTCTTTTATATCTGGTATTACTCTTTCCATTTTCTAGCATAGACTATTCTTGCCACTGATATTTTCTAGCATAGACTATTCTTGCCACTGATATCATATAGAAAAGTACTTTCCCATGTATTTTTTTCTTCTACCATGCCTAGTATAAAAACTTTGGGTCTAACTTCATTTTAATCTGCAAAATTTCATTAATATTTGTATTAATCTGTTTCCACCATCTTCTTGGTTTTTTTGCATGCCCACTACTTGTGGAACATTGTACCCTTTTCTCTGCTGCATTTCCAACATCTATCAGATGTGTTCTTATATATCTTACTGATTTTCACAGGGGTCAGATACCATTTGAATTGGATTTTATAGTAGTTGTCTTTTATATCAGATGACAAAGTATATCCTATCCTCTTTTTCCAGTTTAGTTCCCACTTATCTAAACTTATACTTTCCCCCATTTTTGAGACCATTTAATCATACAGTCTTTCACTAGCTCATCTTCTGTTTCCATTTCCAAGATCTTTTTATAAAGCTTTGATATTATTTGGTTGCTCTCATTTGTCAGAATTTTCCCTAAATCTGATTGCTGTGTTGTAAATCCTACAGTTTTGCTATCCACTTTGTACCTTTCTTTCAACTGATAATATAGAAATTAGGGAGTATCATTTCCTTCCATCCTGAGTTCTTCCCTCATTTTTAACCTTGTTTTGTTGTCCAAATCCGCCTTTAATATATCCCTATATCTTAACCATGAACGATCTGTAATAATCTCTGTACGGTGGAATGCTTCTACAGGAGATGCCCATAGAGGTAATCTCAAGGATATTGTTCTCTTATATTTGGCCCAAATTCTATATAAGGCCTTTCTTAATACATGATCCTCAAAGTCAGGGGTAGGCAACCTTTCCCCTTTAAAGGCCAAGAGACTTCAGCTCCCAGAATCCCAGGAGCTATGGCCAACATGGGACTATTGGCCAACATGGCTGAGGCTTCTGGGAGCTGAAGTCCCTCGGCCCTTAAAGGGGAAAGGTTTCCTACTCCTGCTCAAAGTATCAGTTTACCTTTACCTTGTCATAAAAAAGATAGGCATGCCAGCCAAACTATTCCCGCAAGCTTCTAAGTGAAGAGGACATCTGTTTTTAAGTAGAATCCATTCTCTCATCCAGTCTAGACAAGATGCTTCATTATTATTATTATTATTATTATTATTATTATTATTATTATTATTTGTATCCCGCCCCTCTGACGAACATTCGGGGCGGCTT